TAGTAGCACGGTAGGTGGAGGACTTGAACAACTGATGCATTCGATTCTAAATCCACTCTTATTGCTGTTGTTAGCTACTATCAAGTTGTGATCTGTAAGGTTTACATTGGCTGAGTTTCAGAAGTAGATCATCAGGCCTTTCTTCCTAGTCTATCTTAGTCTGGAAGCTCCACTGAATCCTGTTCAGCATCACGGCAACATGCAAGCTTCCAGTGACAGGTGGGTGGTGGTAGCTGCACATGAAGTACATTGGCTGGGAATCAAATCCTGATCTGGCACATGGAAGACAAGAATTCTACCAGTGAACCACAACCAATGCCTCACAAACCCACTTTTAACCACCAGGATATACCACTTTCTGCTTCTGATGCTCAGAGAAATCAAGTCCTTAGTCTGTGGTCACACCAAACCCAAACCCATTGCCATCGAGTCAATCCCAACTCACAGCAACCTTATAGGGCAGAGTAGAACTGGCCCATAGGGTTTCCAAGGGTGTAATCTTTATGGAAGCAGACAGCCACATCTTTCTCCTGTGGACTGGCTGGTGGGTTCAAACCGCTGACTTTTTGGTTAGCAGCTGAGTGCTTAACCACTGCGCCACCAGGGCACAGTGTTTAACACAGACAGTTTAAATCAAGAGTATCAACCAGGTGAGCTAGGTTAAGCTGTCTCAGTGAACAACCCCAAAATCTCAGTGACTTAACGCAACAGCAGTTCATTTCTTGCTCACACTGCATTTCCAACATGGGGGTTCTGATCATTATAGTCACCAGGGACCCAGGCCAACAGAAGGTCCCTCTTGACACACATTTCCACCATCGTCCTGCAGAACAGGGAATACGATGACCTTAGCATTGCCTCCTAAAGCACCCACCCAACGTATCACATGTCACTTTCACTCATCTATTTTCGAAAAGGAAGGCAGTAGGTGGTTCAGCAGTAGAATTCTCACCTTCTATGCAGGAGACCCAGGTTCAATTTCCAGCCAATGCACCTCACGTGCAGCCACCACCCGTCTGAGAGGGAAGGCTTGCCTGTTGCTATGATGCTGAGCAGGTTTCAGGGAAGCTTCTAGACTAAAACAGACTAGGAAGAAAGGCCTGGCAATCTACTTCCAAAACTCAGCCAATGAAAACCCTATGAACCACAATGGTTCAAATCCGCTACCAATCATGGGGATGGTGCAAGATCGGGCAACATTTTGTTCTGTTGTGCGTGGGGTCGCTACACATTAGGGGCCGACACAATGGCAGCTAACAACAACCAATTTTTGAACAAAGCAAGACATAGTTCTGCACCTGACTTCAAGGAGCAGGAAAGAACTGAAAATACCGGGTGAACAGCACTAATGAGTAGCCCGCTGGGCCATGGGGAAGGAATGCCACCTTCCTTTGCCCACGTCTACAAGGTGTGCAGCGTCAGCCCACTGTGGAAGACGCAGCTCAGGTTGTTTTGTTCCTTCTCCCTATTGATCTTCCTTTTTGGTTTATTTGCTACTGAAAATGAAACATGAGAGAGCCTGAGTCTGTCTAACCAGCCCCTTTCTTTATCAGTGGCTCTGCAAGAGCAAGGGCTCAGGGCTTTTTAAGATCTGTGGGAACCTGGGTGCTCTTTTAGCTCATTTAGCCTGCTGCTTGAAGTCGCAATAGATTTCGGGTCGTCTTGAAGTCAGCATTAACAGCAAACTTCCATCTTCTCGATTAGGCCTGAATATTTAAGACTTTGAAAGCATGCCTGGATCCAGATTTAATTTTAGAAGGGGAAGAGGGGGTGCTTTGGAACTTCAAGAAGAAGGCTGGAGGCTCAGCAGGGCCTGCGTTAGCAAAGGGAAAAAGCGAAAAGCCCTGTGGTCTTGAAAGAAATGCTCCAAAGTGGAAACGCTAAAGCTTCCAGTTGGTGAGCATTAAATCAGACTTCAAAAGCGCTGCTAGTTTAAACGTTGTTTATAGGACTGAAGTATGTATTGCTTCTTCCTCCTCCAGCTGGATTTTAAATATTCCCTAATCTGATTACTCGTGAGGGGTGGGGGGGAGAGCAGGCAGAACCAACGTTAAATGAGCTTCACTGTTAATTATTCAGAGGGCTTTTAATTGTGTAATCAAACATAAAGTCCTACAAAAAGCTTAAAGGCACCCTCTCACAGGGCCCTCTCCGGCCCTCCTCCACCTGGGGGTATGTGTGCACTTCCTGTGTCATGGCTGTATGCCAATAATGGTCAGCAAGATCCTGCTGGTGAGGAGGCTGCACCTTCCTCCACATTTAGGCTGGTAAAAGCCCCTGATTCTGCTACCCAGACCCCCATACCATAAGAAGTCAGTCTTAAGTAAGTTTATCTTGATTACTTTTTGCCTCCTATATCTGAGCACCTTCCCCCACCACCAGCACTCAGAAGCCCCAGACAAGCCTAGCTCTTTCCCCTGCTCTCTATCAGTGTTCCCTGAATCAAAACTGGTCTGTCCATCTTCCCATTCCCTCAAGTTCCTACCCTAAGCTGGGTGACAGCCAGCCAAATGGCCGAAAGGATCCCAGCCATCTAAAATCATTTCTGCAGAGAAAATGGGGACAAAGAAAAATGGACAGACAGGAACGAAAGATCAATAGACTGACAGATCGGTAGGCTGATCAATAGAGAGAAAGAGACAGAGATAATAGATAGGATTGAAAGATCAACAGACTGATAGATCGATAGGTTGATCAACAGACAGAGGAATAAAAGATTAAAAGATCACTGAACTGATAAATCAATAGGCTGATGAATAGATAGACAGAGGTCGTTGAGAAAGCATACACTAAGACTCTCTGATTGCTGATTAATATGGGCCCACCACTCCACAACCACAAAACCAAAATCAAAAAGGCTCTAGAAACTCAGTTTTTTCATAACTCATTTGGCAACAAAATTAGACATGAACCAAACTCATTTGGTGGTAAAACCTGACCTGAAGCTATTCATAATCTTTATTTATCCCACCTATTGTAAATGTGGAAACCCTGGTGGTGTAGTAGTTAAGAGCTCTGGCTGCTAACCAAGAGATCAGCAGTTTGAATCCACCAGCCACTCCTTGGAAACCCTATAGGGCATTTCTACTCTGTCCTATAGGGTTGCTATGAGTCGGAATCGACTCAATGGCAACAGGTTTGTTTTGTTTGTTTGTTTTTTAAGTGTAAATATTAACCCATTTCATTGCAGGAATATCAATATATTTGATGAAAGAATGCTGCCCCATACCCTATCAGGGTGATTGTCTAACATGCAGTATATGTAGCTTATTTCCTTTCCAAAATACCAAAATTTGTAATTTGGTATCACACCTGGCCCGACAGGTTTCAGATTAGGGATTAGGCATGTCACTTATAGAACCTGCTGGGGCTTCTGTTTCCTACTCAGAAAGTCCCCTTCCCGTATAGGCAGGGGATGATACAGGTTTTGTGGGGCTGAAGTTTATTTACTTAGGGAGGAAAACCAAAAACCAAACCCACTGCTGTCGAGTCGACTCCAACTCATAGTGACCCTACAGGACAGAGTACAACTGCCCCATAGGATTTTCAAGGAGTGTCTGGTGGATTCCAACTGCCGACCTTTTGGTTAGCAGCTGTGGCTCTTAACTACTATGCCACCAGTTAGGGAGGGGGTACTGAAAGACAAAGATTAGGTACAGGGCTCTGGAGAGGCCCATGCAAGTGAGGGATCCTGAAGCTTTAGCTTCATTAGCTTCACTGTAAATCTGCATCTGGGCAAGTCACTTAGCCCACTGGGTTTGTTTTCTCATCTTTAAAATGGGACGATAATGGCGATGTCCTAAGGTTTTGTTCCGATTATTCAGTGACAATGCACAGAAGAGTTCTGCAGGTAGTATGGTACAGAGCATTTGTTTAATAAACCCAACACCAGTTATTTTCACTGTGAGACCCATCCCACCACCCTCCTCCGTCCCCACCCAGTAATAACCTCTCAGTGTTACTCAGAAACGTCCGTGATAGTGGGACCACGACAGGCAGGGATTCAGAAATGAACAAGCTTTTCAATCCACCCCTAGAGTAACTACAAACTCGCCTCCGAATCTATGAGGGGACCTGAATCCAAAATGCAAATAAATTCAGAATGCACACACATATATGCCACCTCCCTCATCCCCACCCAGTAAGCAGTGATCTCTCCTAACCTTGATTTTCACTCATGAGAACTATGTGGCCCAGCCCCAGCTATGGAGAATTGTCCCTTGCAGAAGGGAAAAAAAAATCCTAACAGACCTCAAACCCACTCCACTGAGTCGATTCCGATTCATAATGACCCTGTAGGGCAGATTAGAACTGCCCCATAAGGTTTCCAAGGCTGTAAATCTTTACGGAAGCAGACTGCCACATCTGTCTCCCGCCGAGCGGCTGGTGGGTTCGAACCGCAGACCTTTCGGTTAGCAGGTGAGCACTTTAACTGCTGCACCACCATAGCTCCTCATAACAGGGACCAGCCACCGTTTATCCTCTATTTATTGCATTTCTTAAAAGAACTCGTTGTAATAAACTGAGGCTCTGGAAACGGAAAACTCATTAAGCTGGTTTCTCACGCAGGGACCCAGGTGGAAGCAAGAGCACGATAAAAAAAATCAACAAGGACAAGTCCATGGGACAGAGGTGGGAACACTTCATCACAGCGTCAAAGGTAACCAACAGCACACGACTCTACCGTTTGGCCGTCAGGTCCCAACTTATGTTGGGGGTTTTCTTGCTAGTCTTCTCTCTGATGGGATTTTTTTTTTTCCTAGTTGGTTCTCGAGGTTCAGGAAAGTCGGAAGCATAGGCTGCTGGGTGGGGTTTTTTTTTGTAAATTTTAATTAAAATGGTTGTCTGGGGATTATAGGAGAAATGACACTTGGCTGGACATCACTTGATGAGGAAGGGGCGGGAGGAGCTGGGAGCTGCTTAATAAGATGTCACCAGGAGGAAATGGACTTACCTCACTCTATCTTTTAAATCAATAATCATTTCTCTCTTCTTTTTTTTTTTACACTCAGTCAGAAAATAAGAAATGAGTGATTCACCAGACAAGATGTTATACAAACTAGAATGTGTGCTTATGATTAAGAGGACAACAAGAGGTCTATTCTTTTTACCCAAAGCTATTCCTAACCCCAAGCTTCCCAAATTCATCTACTCAACAAACAAGCACACTAGTAACAGTAATAAGGACAAGAGGTAATACTTATAGAGAGAGTCTGCTCAAAATGAGACCAATGGGACACAAGAGTCCAGGGACAAGGACTAGAAGGCAGGAGGGGACAGGAAAGCTGGTAATAGGGAACCCAAGGTCGAGAAGGGACAGTGTTGACATGTTGTGGGGTTGTTAACCATTGTCATAAAACAATATGTGTACTGTTAATGAGAAACTATTTGTTCTGTAAACCTTCATCTAAAGTACAATAAGAAAAAAATAGAATTTGCTGAACTTGCCCTCTTACTGACAAAATGGGTAAAATGCTCATCCCTGCCCACCTCATGTTTGTGAAGAACCCAGTAAACAATATGAAAACTCATTCTCAAAATTTTAAAAGGCTGAGCATTATTGTGGACATATCATTTTTACAGGCTGCTTTTTAAAGTAATTGCAGTGGGCTAGGTTCTGGGCTAAGGAAGCTCTTTAGGTGTAGTATCCAGTTCCACCCTCTTAGTATTCCCATGGGGCACTGTTACTATCCCCAGGCGGGAGAGAAGGAAGCTGGGGCACAGAGAGGTTAAGTGACTTGCCTGAGGTCACACAGCTGGGCAATGGTAGAGCTAGGAGTTAATCCAGGGTCTGTTTATTAAACACCGAGCTGTACAAATGCATGCTCTCCATGATATCATGATTATAATTGCCCCTCATGAAGATTTTCATCATTTTTTTTTTCCTCTTTCATCAGGGTGCTCCTAGACCTGAGAAGTGAGAGTCTTTGTTTTTTATCACAGAATGTTGCTATGGAGATAGTGTGTGTACCCATCTCCAGAGATGCACAGAAAAAGCAGCAGGTGTCACAAACCTAAAAAAAAAATACGTCCTTCAGGAATATTCATGACTGAAACTGGAGCAGGTGAGAGTGAGGAATCATGGAACTTGCACTCTCACAAAACTGAAATTCCCTAGAAAGCTTGTGGGTCAAGCTCTAGGCTGCAGGGTGATCTGGGATTAGAGGAACACTAAATCAGGAATCAGGAGACATGGCTCAACCACTTACTTGCTGTGTGAACTTGGGCAAGTCCTTCTCCCTCTTCTGACCTTAGTACCCCTTCCCGATGAGACCTTTGAAAGAGAGGCTCCAACCAACACCTACAGCCTCTGATATTCTTCTGTATATATAGAACTTGTCAGTGCCAAGGCAATGTTCAGAAACTCAAATGCCCATAAGGGCCAGTCAGTGCATGTAAATGAGAAAAGCAAGCCAGATGTAACGTAGTAGGGAGTGGTGAGGTCTATGGCAAGCTAGAGCACTCCTGCCCAGCTAAAGGGAAGAACCTCTGCTCAACTCTAGCTCATTTTGCCACGTAAGAATGGGAGCCCAGGGCTTATCACTTTCAAAAGAAACCAATAACTTAGGTTTTTATCCCCAATTTTTAAAATGCTGGACAGTTAAACATGTCTTCACATAGGCCGCCAGTTTGCAACTGCTGTTTCTAAGAAAGTATAAGGAACCATTCAAGGGAAATCTTTTCCTTTGTTGCCAAAAGGCAGTCCCTACTTAGGTGGAACACAGGAGCTGGTTAACACCACTTTCCAGTGAAATACAGAAAATAATGAAGAACCATTTGGAGATGTAAGCCAATTCAGACAGAGTCAGTTCAATAAAGGGCAAGCAAGATGCTGAAGCTGCCTGTCACATCTTCCCTCCACATTTTATTTTTCTGCCACTCTCAATTAATCAGAAGTGTCAGCCCTTCACTTTGGATTTCCTGGCTGGGGTGGTTAATTGAATTTTAATTAATGGCAACATTAGGAGCACAAGATAAAATCCTAGCTCAAGGAAGATGCACACAGAGCTCTGGATATAGAAGGCTCTTCTGAGATCATCTCAGTCAACCCTCCTCATTTTATAGCTGGAAAAACTGAGGCAGGGAAAAGTAACTTGCTCAAGGCCACCCTGGGGCCTCCTGGCTCTTAGTCCAGTGCTTGCTGCAAAATTCCAGGCTGACCTTGTAACATAATCTGTCCAGCCTTCAAAAATAGCATTGACTTATAAGAGTATGGTTCCCAGGGGCAGCAATTCACATCATGCCAGATGAAACAGGAAAGAGGGGACTTATATATTATCCCAGTACCTGACATCACCTCTCCCTAAGGTGGCAGGTAGTAGTGGGGGTTTCTGTCAGTCTGACAAGCTCTTGACCAGCAGCAATGCCAGCACAAAGGGGAGACTATATCAAGCTCCTAATTTATCAATGGAGAGAGCATGCTAACTTTTGTTATTTGCTTTTTCTCTATAACAGTCATTTTTGTAACCCACAAGTCCCTGTGCAGATTAGGTTGAACCCAGTTCAAACCCCAATTCCCTCATCTATCATGTTCTGAAGCATTCTGTCATTTGTGTAGATTTTTGCTAAAAATTTGGAGGATGAGATTGTCAAGGGGAGAGGTCACTACATAAGCCCCACAGCCTTTCTGCCAACTCCTTGGCTCTACCCTCACCTCCTGTCTCTCTTTTCCTCCCTCCTCCCCACCCTCTCCTTCCCCTGTGCAACCAAGAAATCACTCCCCTCTTCTAGTGCAGGGACGTTCCGCCCACTTTCAGGGTGATGAAAAAAAATTACTTCTGATTACCTATAGTGGACTCCCTGAAAAAAATCCCGCTAAATACAATTTTCCCCACACTGTTAGGTATTTATGAAACGTTGGGTGGCCTTCAGTCCTGTCTCTTCCCCTTATCCTCTTCCCCAGTATACCAAGCACTGAGCTTCATCTAAAGATCTCAGTCTGCTCTCCAAATGCTTTCACTTTAATTTTCTCAAAATAAATAAAATTGTTTCTATTAACTAAGCGTATACTATAGCCCAGGCCCTTTATTGAGCTCTTAACTTAGAAGCAGCTAAGGGCCCACTCTTCCCCACTGTAAACCTGGTATTTTAAATGCCATACAAAATCATCACAAGGTCAAGGGCATTTTCAAATGCTACTGAACAAGGCATAAAGTTTCTTTAAAGAAAGACAAATAATTCGCTTGATGTCAGCATGACCTGAGTTCAAATCTAGCTTTACCACTTGTAAGCTATGTGACCTTGGACAAGTTAGGAAGCCTCTCTGAGACTCGCATCATGACAAACATGAGGACATGACTCCATACAGTGCGTTTGGAAGTGATACCAACTAGGCATTAGGGTACACACAAGTACACAGACATCTGTAACCAGTCGTCTTTTACTCCTTTCCTTCCAAAAGTCCACATTTCACTTCGGATCTAGCTGTCTTCAAGTCACCTCTGGCTCATGGTGACCCGTGTGTATCAGAGTACAGTTGTGCTCCACAGGGTTTTCAATAGCTGATTTTTCAGAAGCAGATCACCATGCCTTTCTTCCTTTCGATTAGCAGCCAAACTCATTAACTGTTTGCACCACCCAGGGGACTCCGAACTTGCCCTGCACCTTAATACCTTCCAGAACTTGCGGTCCAGTCCTCCCTGCCTACCACAATCCTGGATCATCCCCCACCCCAGAGTGCCATCCCACCACACAAATGGGCCTCCCTTAATTCCACTCCTTAAATTTTCTTGTTGTTAGGTGCCACCCTGTCTGTTCCAACTCATAACGACCCTATGTGCAACAGAACGAAACACTGCCAGGTCCTGTGCCATCTTCACAATCTTTGTCATGCTTGAGCCCACTGTTACAGTCACTGTGTCAATCCATCTCACTGAAGGTCTTCCTCTTTTTCGCTGACCCTCTACTTCACCAAGCATGATGTCCTCCTCCAGGGACTGGTCCCTCCTGATAACATGTTCAAAGTATGTGAGACAAAGTCTTGTAATCCTTGCTTCTAATGAGCATTCTGGTTGTACTTCCTCCAAGAAAGATTTGCTCATTCTTCTGGCAGTCCATGGTATATTAAATATTCTTTGTTGACACCATAATTCAAAGGCATCAATTCTTCTTCAGTCTTTCTTATTCAGTGTCCAGCTTTCACATGCATATAGGGCAACTGAAAACACCATGGCTTGGGTCAGGCATACCTTAGTCCTTAAAGTGACATCTTTGCTTTTTAACACTTTAAAGAGATCTTTTACAGCAAATCTGCCCAACTCAATGCATTGTTTGATTTCTTAACTCTGCTTCCATGGGCGTTGATTGCAGATCCAACTAAAATGAAATCCTTGACAACTTCAATCTTTTCTTCTCTTTATCATGATGTTGCTTATTGGTCCAGTTGTGAGGATTTTTTTGGTCTTTGATCTTCATCAGTAACTGCTTAAAGTCCTTTTCACTTTCAGCGATCAAGGTTGTGTCATCGGCATGTCACAGGTTGTTAATGAGTCTTCCTCCAATCCTGATGCCCTGTTATTCTTCATATAGTTCAGTGTCTCAGATTATTTGTGCAGCATACAGATTGAGTAAGTATGGTGCAAGGATATAATCCTGAAACACACCTTTCTTGACTTTAAACCATGCAGTATCCCCTTGTTCTGTTTGAACAACTGCCTCTTGGTGTATGTTCAGGTTCTGCATGAGCACAATTAAGTGTTCTGGAATTCCCATTCTTAGCAGTGTTATCCATAATTTGTTATGATCCACACAGTCGAATGCCTTTGCATAGTCAATAAAACACAGGTAAACATCTTTCAGGTATTGTCTGCTTTCAGCCAACACCCATCTGATATCAGCAATGATATCCCTGGTACCACATCCTCTTCTGAATCTAGCTTGAATTTCTGGCAGTTCCCTGTCTACATACTACTACAACCGCTTTCTAAGGACCTTCAGCAAAATTTTACTTGCATGTGATATTAATGATACTGTTTGATAATTTTTGCATTCTGTTGGATCAGCCTTTTTTGGAATGGGTATAAACATGGATCTCTTCCAGTCAATTTGCCAGGTAGCTGTCTTCCAAATTTCTTGGCATAGACAAGTGAGGGCTTCCAGTATTGCATCTGTTTGCTGAAACATCTCAATCGGTATTCCCTCAATTCCTGAAGCCTTGTTTTTCACCAGTGCCTTCAGTACCACTTGGACCTCTTCCTTCAGTACCATAGGTTCTTGATCATATGCCGCCTCCTGAAATGGCTGAACGTCGACCAATTCTTTTTGGTACAGTGACTCTGTGTATTCCTTCCATCTTCTTTTGATACTTCCTGTGTCTTTTAATACTTTCCCTGTAGAATCCTACAATATTGCAACTCGAGGCTTGAATTTTTTCTTCAAGCTGAGAAATGCTGAGCGTGTTCTTCCCTTTTGGTTTTCTATCTCCAGGCCTTTGCACAATTCATTATAATATTTTGGTCTTTTCTTTCTTTCCTGTCTTTTTAATGACCTCTTGTTTGCTTCATGTATGATATTCTTGATGTCATTCCACAACTCACCTGGTGTTCAACAAGTCAAGTCTATTCTTGAGATAGTCTCTAAATTCAGGTGGAATATACTCAAGGTCATACTTTGGTTCTCATGGGCTTCTTCTAATTTTCTTCACCTTCAACTTGAACTTGCATATGAGCAATTGGTGGTTTGTTCCACAGTTGGCCCCGGCCTTGTTCTGACTGATGACATTGAACTTTTCTATTGTCTCTTTCCACAAATGTAGTCCTTTTGATGCCTATGTATTCCACCTGGTGAGGTCCACATGTATAGTCACCGTTTATGTTTTGAAAAAAGGTATTTGCAGTGAAGAAGTTGTTGATCTTGCAAAACTCTTTCATGTAACTTCCAGTGTCATTTCTATCACCAAGGCCATATTTTCCAAATACCAATCCTTCCTCATTTCCAACTTTTTCATTCCAATTGCCAGTAATTATCAATGCGTCTTGATTGCATGTTTGATCTATTTCACAATGCAGAGTACTAACCACTATATGATCACGGCTGTTTGATCAATTTCAGACTGCAGAAGTTGTAAAAATCTTCAATTTCTTCATCTCTGGCCTTAGTGGTTGGTGCGTGTCTTAGTCATTTAGTGCTGCTTTAACAGAAATACCATAAGTGGGTGGCTTTAACAAAGAGAAATTTATTGTCTCACAGTCTAGTAGGCTACAAGTCCAAATTCAGGGCATCAGCTCCAGGGGAAGGCTTTCTCTGTCAGCTCTAGGGGAAGGTCCTTGTTATCAGTCTTCCCCGATCTAGGAGCTTCTCTGCACAGGAATCTCGGGTCCAAAGGACACACTCTGCTCTGAGCATTGCTTTCTTTGTGGTATGAGGTCCCTAACTCTCTGCTTGCTTGCCTTCGTTATATCTCTTGACAGATAAAAGGTGGTGCAGGCCACACCCCAGGGAAACTCCCTTTATATTGGATCAGGGACGTCACCTGGGTAAGGGTATTTCATCCCGCCCTAATCTTGCCTCATTAACCACAGACAGAGATTAAGATTTATAACACATAGGAAAATTATTTCAATCAAAATGGAGGGCAACTACACAATACTGGGAATCATGGCCTAACCAAGTTGATGCATATTTTTGGGGGACACAATTCAATCTATGACAGTGCATAAATTTGAATAATAGTCATATTAACTGGTCTTCCTTGTAGGTGTATAGATATTATCGTATTATGGACAGTGTTGTATTTCAGGATAGATTAGATCTTAAAATGTTCTTTTTGACAATGAATGCAATGCCATTCCTCTTCAATTTGTCATTGCTGGCATAGTAGGCCATATGGTTGTCTGATTCAAAACGGCCAATATCAGTTCCTTTCAGCTCACTAATGCCTAGGATATTGATGTTTACGCATTCCATTTCTTTTTTTTTTTTTTTATTGTACTTTAGATGAAGGTTTACGGAACAAATAGTTTCTCATTAAACAGTCAGTACGCATATTGTTTTATGACACTGGCTAACAACCCCACGACATATCAACACTCTCTGTTCTCGACCTTGGAGGGCCTTTTTTTGGTGAAAATATACACAGCCAAAGTTACATCATTTCAAAAGTTCCTACATGTACAATTCAGTGACATCGATTACATTCTTCCAGTTGTGCTGCTATTCTCACTATCCTTTTCCAAATTATTCCATGACCATTATCTTCAACTCACTGCCCCCTAGGCTTCCCATCAAACCTTTTGAGTTGCTGTTGTCAATCTGATCTCACATGGATAATTTTTTTTTTTTTTTTTTTTTGTACCTTAGATGAAGGTTTGCAGAACAAAGTTTCCTCATTAAACAGTTAGTACACATATTGCCCTATGACAAGGGTTAACAACCCCACAACATGTCAATGCTGTCCCTTCTCAACCTTGGGTTCCCTATCACCAGCTTTCCTGTCCCCTCCTGCCTTCTAGTCCTTCTCCCTGGACTGCTGTGCCTCATTAATCCCGTTTTGTTTTATGAAGTTGTCCAGTCACTGGCTTGACAGTGAACTTTGGGAGTGACTTCACCACTGACCTAAAAGTGTGTCCGGGGTCCCTACTCTCGGGGTTTCTCCAGTCTGTCAGGCCAGTAAATCTGCTCTTTTTTTTTTTGTGAGTTAAAATTTTGTTCTACATCCTTTTCCAGCTCTGTCCAGGACCCTCTATTGTGATCCCGGTCAGAGCAGTCAGTGGTGGTAGCCATGCACCATCTAGCTGTACCAGACTCAATCTGGTGGAGGCCATGGTAGTTGTGGTCCATTAGTCCTTTGGACTAATCTTTTCCTTGTGTCTTGTTCTCTTCATTGTCCCTTGCTCCCGAAGGGTTGAGATCAGTGAAGTATGTTAGATGGCTGCTCACAGGCTTTTAAGACCCCAGACACTACTCACCAAGTTGGAATATAGAACACTGTCTTTATAAACTGTTATGCCAATTGAGCTAGATGTTCCCTGAGACCATGGTCCCCACAGCCCTCCGCCCAGCAATTCAGTCCCTCAGGGAGTTTGGAAGTGTCTATGGAGCTTCCATGACCTTTCCTTGTACCCATTTCATTTTTGATGACATCCAGTTTTCCAAGATTCATACTTTGTACATTCCACGTTCTGATTATTAATGGATGTTTGCAGCTGTTTCTTCTCATTTTGAGTTATGCCGCATCCACAAATGAAGGTCCCAAAAGCTTTACTCCATCCATGTCATTAAGGTTGACTCTGCTTTGAGGAGGCAGCTCTTCCCCAGTTGTATTTTGAGTTCGGGCTCATCTTCTGGCAGTATGTCAGATAATGTTCTGCTGCTATCCATAAGGTTTTCACTGGCCAATTTTTTCAGAAGTAGACTTCCAGGTCCTTCTTCCTAGTCTGGAAGCTCAGCTTAAACATGTCCACCAAGGGTGATCCTGCTGGTATTTGAAATAATAGTAGCAAAGCTTCCAGTATCACAGTAATATGCAAGACAGTACGACAAACTGACAGGCACGTGGTGGCCCCAGATTTTAGGGTTAGAATTTTCTCTATCTTGTGTTCTTCAGAAAATCCCAGCGAATATAGCTCTTCATTCTTTGAGGCCCAAGCATCAACGTGGTGAACGAGAAGTTGTTAAGGTGATAAGTACAATTTGGGGTCAAAACCAAGTTGTAGCTAAAGAAATTAGACCTATCCTCTTATCCTGTATTATAATCAATTCCAATGGTTATTAAAAAGAGAATTCAAAAATCGTTCCAGGCCATGGCAACATCATTAGAATACACGTTTGGCTTCCTGTCAGGACTATTTTGGCTACCATAGCCCTAACTGGCTGGAATAAGTCCCAACATGTTTGCTTCAAATAATACACATTTTAAAATTATCTCCCTTGAGAGCTATGTCTCATGGTGTTTGGAGAGGGCCAAAAGGAATTCAGATTCACAGCCAGGCTTTTGCTTTTTTTCTTCTCTACTTATTTCCTTCCTTCTAGCCTTCCTTCCCTCCTTCTTTCTTTCTAAACCCCTTTTTCTCCTCTCTTTCCAACAGACCAAGAAATTCAAAATTCCTATGCTACGCACCACTGGCCGTAAACCTAGCCGGCGAGGCTCCACTCTCAGTCTGTCTCGGACCAGTGGGGGGTCATCACCCCAGAGCAGTATGATGTCTGTGATCCCTGGCTCAGATGAGCCCCAGAGTGTGGTCACCCAGGGGACAGGCAGCAAGGACATTGAGGACAATGAGTCATGTTCAACCAAGCCAGATGAGGAGCCTCTTCATGTCAGTAAGTGCTGCCTCAATCTGACCATCTACCCCAACCCCTTGCCTATGAGACAGACACCAGGGGCCTCTTCTGCTCCACCTCTGCCCCTATGTACAACTCAATTAAAGGTGACATAGGGATATCCCAGCCCTATTCAATTTCCTTGGACTCCCTTGCTTTCCCCCACTGGAGATTAGAAATATACTCTATAACCGGGATTAATCTGAGCTATTTCTCCTATGGAGACAGTCCATGGTTATCAATTGCCTCTTTTTTTAATAATATATTTTATTTAGTTCAATATATACAAATAATCATAATTTCAACATGTAATCAACATAAAAAGTAGTAATGACGTGTTTTACATACTTTTTTTTTCTATACTAAGTCTTTGAAATCTGGTGTCTCCTTTTTTAAACAGCTTTACTGAATTATAATTTACATACCATAAAATTCACTCATTTTAAGTATACAATCCAGATTTTGAGGTAATTTACAGAGCTGTGCAACCATCACCACTATCTAATTTTAGAATATTTACAGTGACCCAAAAAGAAACCTCGTGCCCATCTGCAGTCCCTTCCCCTTCCCACCTCCAGTCCCAGGCAACCACAAATCTGCTTTCTGTCTCCAGGGATCTGCCTTGTCTGCATTTCATATATGGAACAAGTTGTATCACTCTGTGTTGCTCACCCTAGAAAAAAGCCTTTTCAGTGGTTCATCACAATTTTGGTGACACAGACCCTTTAGAGAATCTATTGAAAGCTATGGAACTTCTCTCCAGGGAAAAAAAAAAAATGCAAACACGCATACACACAATTCTGCATACTATTTTAGAGGCGAATCTGTGGCACTCAGCCAGATGGAATTGTAACTGGATTCCGTAAGTCGTGCAACAAATTTATTTTCAGAACTTTATGGCTTGAGCTTATATAGTAAAAGGAGATAAGAAAATAAAGAGAAGGATTCATACAAAAAGAGATGGGGAAGGTAGAAGGAAGAAAGAGAAAGACAGGGACATGAAGGAGTACTGGCCCTTGCAGTCTTGGACTCTGGTACATGAGACACCTACCTGCCAAATCGGCATCTGCTGTGTCCAAGCTGAGACCTGTCTGCTCAGTCAGTGTGTTTTTGCTCTGTTTTTTTTTTTTTTTTTTGGGGGGGGGGGCAGGGAAAACCATCTAGAACGCCTAAGGCAACTGAGGTTGGTCTAGGCTGGGCTGAACTGTCAGGAATTGGGTGTAGTGTAGATTCAAGAAGGTTGAGCTGGAGGTCAACGTAGACCAGACAGTCTGGGCCCTAACAGGCAAAGGTAGGAGCGGGTAGAGGTGTAAAAATCCAGTAGGCGGTCAGGACTTAGAGTAATGGCTGCCAATGAGAAAAATTTTCACCACCTCCCTTGTTAACAGGAGGCTGGGAGGTGCTCCAAGCCCTGAAAAGCTGTTAGCTGAATAGAGGTATTGTCTGATAAATGACAGATATGTGACTCATGGGTTTCTTGAGCCTTCTTTCATTCAACATGTATTTATTAAGCACCTACTGCGTGTCTGGAACTGAGATTTATAGTACCTTCCCTCCCCACATTTGCATTTTATGAAGAAGGATGCAGACAACAAACAAAAAAATACCATCCACAACAAGACAACTGCAGATAATATGTGCGCAGAAGAAAATTTTAAAAAGTGTTGTGCTAAGGAGAGACTGATGGTGGGTGTGGGGAGAATCAGCGAGGCTGGTCAGGGGAAGCCTCTCTCAGCTCTGATGTTTGACCTGAGACCTGTAGACAGAAAGCTGGGGAGGGGGGTGGGATTCAGAACACAGAGGGCCTTTGTAGGGCAAGGTGAGGACTTCAGAATATTCAAAGTGTAACAGTAAGTCTCTGGAAGATCTGAAGTACAAGGGTGGTGGGAGCTGGTTTACTTTTCAGAAAGGGGTCTGTGTAATTATTAATGTTATATCCATGTCTTTATGTCTTCTAACTCTAAAAGCTTTGCTCTTAAATAAGAAGGAGAGAGAAGTGCCCCAGTTTCAAAATACTGCCTCAGTCCCAGAACTTGCATAGGGTTCTCCCTATGGCACTCTAAGTGCTGCAGGCAGGAGGGAGCAGCCAGGGAAGCTAACTTCGCAATGAGGATAGGGGTGAATGGCGCCATCTCTCTGGGCACATGAAACACCACACACCCTTCCTGATGGCCACCTTCCCACATCTAACCAGCTGCCTCCTCCAATCATGCTATCTTGTAAGATTTTCTTGACCCTTACCTTCCTTCACCCTTATTGCTTTCATGTTAGTTTAGAGATAGAAATCTGGGTCTCTCAGGCCACATCCTGCCACTTAAGTTTTGCTCAGCACACACAAGGCTTTGCAAAAAAAAAAAAAAAAGTGACTTTTTAATATTGAGAGATTTTGCATAAAAAATCTGATTTTCAAAAATCTTCCTTTGTGGCACTCCCTTTGTGGCAGTAGTGAGTCTGCAATCCTGTTTGGCAACAATCAGCTGGACCTCCTCCCTTTGGCTGGGGCTTGTGCTCTCTACTTTTCCACAGTCCCCACCACTCCCCAATCATTACTCCCAATTGAGTGTGTGGCCATTTAACATCACATTATGCCCTACTGTCTTACTTAGAGTCATAACGACAATACTAATATAATAATTAAAACTTAGGAAGACTTCTATGTGTCAGACATCATTCTAGCCCCTTTATATGTATTAATGTATTTAATCCTCATAGTAACTTTTTCTGCCTATTTTGCAGATGAGAAAATTGGGGCACAGACAGCTTCAATTAATTTCCCCAGGTCACAAAGAAAGTAATTAAGCCAGAATTTCAAACTGGGCAATCTGGCTCCCAACTTACACTTAATCTCTATGTTTTACCCAAGTTTCTAGAAAAAGTGGGAAATAAAAGACAGACCAAAAGGGAAGCTTGATTTTTCTCATACCAGCCCATGTCACTCACTTTTGGTACCTGGCCCCGTAGGTACCTGAGTTAAGACCCCTGGTCCATATTCTCATCACCTGTCATCTAGATGACAGCAACAGTGACCTAATTAGTCTCCCTGCTTCTGGTCCTGCCCTCACACACTCATTTTCTCCATCTGAGCCAGAGGGACCTTTCAAAATTTCAAATCTGATATAGTACTCTCCACCTTAACATCTGTCAATGACTCCTCATTGCCTTTAAGACAAACTGTAGACATTGCATACGATCTGGTCATAGGTTCAGCTCTTGCATCTTCACATCTTAAACTCAACACTCCAACCACACCCCAGAACTTTCCCCTTCTTAAGCAATCCACATGCCTTGCTCTTTCTGCAATGCCCTTTCTTTCCTGCCCCTTCAGTCTATGGACTCCTACTCAACCTTCAAAATCCAGCTTAAATGTTCCCTCATCTTGGAAGTCTTTCCTGATAGCCCCAGGCTCCTGTCTCTCAATTTTCTTAGTCTTTTGTATTTGATTTTATTGAGTATTTAATTTTAGTTTATATGTTTATCTCATTGTATCAGGTAAGAAGTTCTTTTGACTCTAAGAGACCTGAAAATTAGTGGCTTTAAAAACATAAAAGTTTATTTTTCTTACACATTGAAGACAACCAGTCCAGAGCTGGTAGAGTGGCTCTAAAAGATGATCAGGGATCCTACTTCCGACTGTCTTTCTTTTCCACCATCCTCAAGGTCACTTCATGATCCAAAATGGCTGCTAGAACTCCAGTCATCACACATACTTTAGTCTGGAAGCATAAGAAAGTCAGCAAAGGACAAAAGTGCCCGCTTCTAGCTGAATCTAAGCAGGCTTTTCAGAGGCTCCATACAACACTTCTGCTAACATCTTATTGGCCAGAACTTAGTCACAGGGACATACCTAGCTGCAAAGGATGTTGAGAAATATGTGCTAGTAAGTGCTTTCCGTCACAAAAAGGAATCAGAGTTCTATTACTAAGGAAAAAGGAGAGAAGGGATATGAGCTCTCTGCACGTGTGGATCAGTAAGGTCTTATTTGCCTTTGGCCTGACACACAGCAGGTACACAACAATGGCTAGGACATGCATTTGCACCAGAGACCTACCCCCTGGGAAAGTAAGTCCTACTCCAGCCCATCCCAGCCTTTTACTCCATTTATAATTCAACTGTCATCCCGTTTTTCATAGTCTTGACAAAAGTATATTAATTTCCCAGCCTTTCATTGCCTTCTAAAACCTCCTCAAATTGATTCTGAATTCATGAATCCTATTCTAAGAGATGCGCCATTTGACCAAAGTCTGATTTCCAGGGCTGGCTGCATAATGAAGTCTTTGTGGATGCAAATCACTGGGGACAGCAAGCTGTGGGCTTTCCATGGACTGATCTGCTCCCCAAATCACTGGCAGGGGAATTCCCAAGAAACTAAAGCCTAGGCCATTCCTTCTGCAGGTCTTGAAGATCCAAGTCTCAGATGTTAGAGGAGAAACTTACTTAAATAGCAACTCAAAAATGATAAGCCTGATACAGGCTAATGTTCGCCCCACCCCAAACCAACTCCTATAAACAAACAAGCAAGCAAAAGTTGCTGTCAATTCCAATCCATGGTGACCGCATGTGTGTCAGAGTAAAACTGTGCTCTATAGGGTTTTCAATGGCTGAATGTTTTAGAAGTAGGTCACCAGGCCTTTCTTCCGGTGTGCCTCTGGGTGGACTAAAACCTCCAACCCTTCAGTTAGCAGCTGAGGATGTTAACCATTTGCACCACCCAGGGACTCAAGATCTCCTTTATTTTTCCCCCAGAGAGAAGAAATGGGTTTAGTCAATCTAAGATGGTATTTTTATATGGGCTAGGGATGGAAGAAGGAAGAGAGATGGCCAGAATGTTTTTCCTTGGGGATATGGTTTGGCAATTGAAAACACACAATGCCAGTGTGTCTCAGCCACACCCCCACAGCCCTGGGAACTGAAGAACCAAGCATGGTTCTCTGGTGTGGGCATCCATCACAGGACTTTCTTCTGCAGGGCAACTCCACTTTGTGGCATCTGCACCCTCTCCAAACAAATTTCTTCTCCCAGGTCACTCTGAGGAGTAGATGTGAACCTCACAGTTTCCAAGCTTGTTCTATTTCACACACACCCACTTTAGCAATATGAGGGATGAAGTTTCATATTGGTGGGCACCATTCTTTCCAGAGGCATTATTGTCAAGCAGGAAAAAAAATCTGTGGTGCATTATGTGAAATCTTTCTACACTATATAAGCTTTATACATAATGCTCTAGGAGGGCTGTACCATGTACCAGGTCACTGGAGTCACTTGCTGGTATTCACCCACTGCTAAGCTGGTTTGCATATGCATGGTGGTAGGGATGGCGGAGCAATCAGATGTTGCTGCTTGGTACCCAGGAGAAGGAAAGAACGTTGAAGAACCAGCCATATCTCCCACACTAAGAGGCTTCTTAAGACACATTTCAGAATTATAGGATGTATGGCAGTGGGAAAGGTGGGCATGACAAGTCAAAAATGCAGGTCATATTCATGTCCAATGGAATCATGCCCACAAATTAACAGGAAAATAAACCAGTTGAGAATTAGAGGCTGGAAAAGAAAATGCCTAAATGTTGATATTTATCACCGCTTAGATGGTGCCCAAATCACTAACGGCAGACAACTTTTCCTTAGCCCCCACTAATTGTATTCATAAACAAGACTGCACACAAATGGCCTTGGAAAACCCTGGTCTTCAGGCCTTCCTTCCAAACATAGATTTTGACAACTGAGCTTCAGTCAAGGGGGTGAAAAGTGTCTCCACTGACAATGTAATCCTTTGTGGACACCCTAAATCTAGCTCATAGTCTCCCAAATCTTTCCTCTTTTTCCCTTAGTCATTCGCTTATTCATTCAGCAAATACTGACTTAGCTTTCTATGTGCCAAGTACAGGGCCAGGTGCTATCAATGGAAAGACAAATAAGATGTGATCCCTGCCCTCAAGGAGCTAACAGACTAAAGCAGAAGACAAACAAGTAAACAGGCAATTGCCATACCATGAGATCAAGGTTGTGATGGAGGTCAGGAGTCCACAGGGAGACACCTTAACTAGGAGTAGTAGATGGAGGAGGGAGTACAGTTCCAGAATTCCAGAGGAGGGAGGAAAATGTGATAGGAAGGTACCATTATCTTTATTTTACAAATAAGGAATCAACATCTGCCACTCTTCTGCCTGTTCTGAGACAGTGCAAACATCACCAATTTTTTTCACCAAAATAGAAAGTAAAAATAAAAAATTATTAATACTTCAGTTTTATTCAGTGATGCCTGTTACAGCCTGTTTGTTCATGTTAGGATACAGACAGCTTTGCACTGCTAAGAAGACATGTCTAAGACTCTCCATACAGTTGTTCAAGTTCCAGTAATTGTCTTCGTTCCTATAATTATTTGAAATTCATCTCAAAATAAGTCTCTCTTTCTCTCTCTCCCTCTCTTTCCTTTACTCCTTTGGGTGTCTTTGATTGTCAAACGGTTTCCACTCATTTGTCTCTCTGTGTATTCACTCCTCTTCTCACTTTGCCCCTTCTTCTCTCTCCTGGTTCATGAATTTGGGAGGAGTTTCTGGTGAAGCACAGTCACCAAGTAAACAACCTTGCCCTGCGATTTTCAGCACCATGGACAGCTACAAACATCAGGAAGCAGAGGTCCCAAAGCGCACGGCTTTGGGTAAAGCAGATTCTGTGCCAGGAAAGGAGTGGAGATGAGTGAAGGGAGCCAGGCATTTGAAAATCTGTATCCTTATGATGAAACACTTAGGATGATTCTTCACTTGCACTCTCTCACTTTTCTTGAAGCACACAGCTTACTCCATCTATATTTCATTTTCTAACTTCTGAGAGTACTGGGTACAAAGAAATCTTTCTACCATATAAAACACAGCAATATTAAGTATGATAATAAAAGGTAACTAACATAATGAGGAGTATTGGGAACTGTGGGGAACAGAAGCACACACCTAAAGGTCAGATGCAGCAGAATGAGGGCACGTGGAGCCCATCTGAGATTTCTTTTTTTCTAGGGAAGCTGGAGGTCTGGACTTTTATGTGAAACCTTCCAGTTACAAAAGTTGGCATTTACGTTAAATGAAACACATTTTTGAGCTAAATTCAGTCTATACATCTCCAGTTTGGAACTTCAGGACTATGGGGATCAGAGTTTCCTGAACATGGCAATTCCTTCTGAGAACTGGACACAGTTCTCTCAGGCAACGGCAGAGTTTATGGTGGTGGAGAAAAGGTGAGATGAAACAGGAGAGAAAAAGAAAAGCCAGATTATGCAGAGACTCACAGGTCATGTGGAAGAATTTAGACTTTGCTCAAAGGAAAGTGGAGAGTTTTAAGCAGCAGAATATCATGGTCAGATTATAACCTCCCAAAACACTAGAAGCCTCCTCTTCTAGGACCCTGATTTAATCCCTCTTCAGCTCCCTGACACCCAGCCCTGCACAGTCTTGCCCCAAAGGCACCTCCAGACAGTGACCCCTTCATGTTCCCATCAGATCTGCAGAAGCTCCTGGAGATGGTTCGGGAAGATGCCCGGAGGACGATCATTGTAGAAAATGGGACTCAAAAAAAAGTGCCCAGGTATGTTCTCTTGACTCTTGAGGCAAACAGAGAATATCAGAAAAGTAGTGAGAACAATAACAGCAGCAGTTGCCAGTTATGAAACATTTTCTCTGTGCCAATCATTGAGCTCTGTACTTTGTTCACGTGTATCGCCTCCCTGCCTTCTTACAACAACCTTATGAGGTGGGTGCTACTATCTTTACTTTACAAATAAGGAAATGAAGCTCAGAGAGCTTAAGTTACTTGTTCAAGGTCACCCAGCTAGTGAATGGCAAAGCCACAACTCAAATTCAAGTCTTTCTAACTTTAAAAGCCATTCTCATAACCACTCTACTACACTGGCTCCCAAGAATCCTAAGGCTATTCACGTATTCTTTTGATGAATATTTATGGACTATGTACTAATTATTATTGGGGAAAGTGTTATGAAAGGAAAACCTCTAAGAGTACAAAACAGAAGTATCTGAACTAGTCTGGAGAAGGGATGGGGATCAGAGAAGTTTCCCCAAGGGAGAAACTTAAAGCTGAGATTTGGATGAAGCATGAGAAAGAGCTAGCAAGGCAAAGTTGGGGGGTGGGCAGTGGGTGGGGGAAAGAAGGCAACCTACGTGCACACATGGTCAAAAGGGACTCTGGCATCCATAGTCCATGATGGGATGGAGTGAAGTATAGTTGGTCTGGGAGCCTTGGAGGCCTCCTCAAAAATACTGGTTTTTATCTTAAGAGCAACAGGAAGCCTCTGAAATCTCAAGCTAGTGACCAATGTGACTGGCTTGCAAAGAGGTGTCATCCGACCTGAACCCCAGGTGTCCTCCTTCTGGTGGAAAGCCTTGTCCATTGGACTTCTGACATCTAAACACCTTGGAGAGAACACAGGCTTGAGTCGGAGTTGCCTTTCCAAGTGTAGATTCACTCTAAGGAAATTACTTCCCAAAAATAAATGAGGCACTACAAGAGGTTCATCATTGCCTTCAGCCCACTGGGATGCTGGCTATGACTTATTGGTTATTGTTATTACCATAATTACTGTTCACCGAGCACTTTCACATGCATCACACCCGCTTCTGCTTGCTAATGATGGATTTGTCTGCAGCTGCCTTAACCCACAACGGGCTCTGGAGGGTGGCACTTGGAGGTACTCAGAGATGATGTTGGCCCATAAGACCCCAGCTGCTGTGCCTGATTTATCAGCATTAGAGACAGACAGCGCTGGTGAAGCATCAGCTCATCAGGCTCCTTCCTTTGTAAAAAGTAACAGGCATGAGCGCTGGTGTTGGAGTCAGACTGACCGGGGTCCAAACCTGGTGTCCTTGGACAAGTCACTTAACCTTTCCCCAATTCTCAGTCTTCTCATCTATAAAATGAAATTGTGCAGCAGTCAAAGCATTGGCTTTGGAATCTAATAGACTAAGGTCTATCTCCCTTTCCATCATTTACTTGCTGTGTGACATTGGGCAAGCTGCTTCACCTCTCTGATTCTACTTCTGTAAAATGAGGTTCACTAACAACCTACCCCAAAGGGTTGTAGTGAGAATTAAATGATATTTTCCTTGTACTCTTATTGTCGTTATGGAAATAATGCCTATTGCAATGAGTCATTTTAAATCTTTAGTAAAACAATGCATGCAACATATTTAATATGTGCCAAGCACATAGTAAGCACTCAGTAAATGACAGTGATGGGGGTGGTGGTGATGGTGGTTGGGTGGATGTTACTTTTATTTCACGCACAGTATCGCATGGCATGTTCACAGCACGTTGCTGAGACAGATATATTAACCATCACCATAACCCATCTCACAGATAGAGAAGCGAGTGACCTGAGTAACTTGGGTAAGGTCTTCACAGACAAAACCACCCCAGAACCTGGTTCTCGCAAGGCTCATCACATGGCCTCTGCCTTCACTTTAATGAGAAAATAACCATGGTTACAGAGCAAGAACCTGTTGAAATCTCTAATTCTCATCAATTCTCCCGGGAGAAAGAAAGCTCCCTAATCTCTTGCTAAGGCAGCAGATATTGACGGTTTCAGTGTGGAGCTGCAGAAAGGCAGTTAGGAAAAGCTGCAGATTTTCTCTTGTCCTTCATTTTAGAATCTGGATTCCTCTCTCACTTTAGACACCAGATCTGCTCCCATTAAGGCTGATGTAGAATCCTGGGGTTTTTAGGAACCCCTAGAAGCCGACGAGTTCATCTCCCAGTCTCAAGGCCAGACTGCCCCCTAGTTGTCTAAGAAGGTGGCTTTTTCTTTTCTTAAAACCTCTACTAGTACTTCCCGAATGTCCCTCAAGATTGGACTCCACTGTGGGTACTGGTTAAAAATTTCTAGACCTCATCCCAGATCTACTGAATATGAACCTCCAGAGGAAGCTGTATTTTTTAACAAGCACTTCAAGTAAGTGTTACCTCAGAGAATATTGGGAAATTCTAGGTTTCTCAAAGTATTCTCCCTGAACCACCTGCATCAGAATTGTGAGTGTGTGTGTGTGTGTGTGTGTTTGTGAGATGGGGAGGGATTTTAAATGCAGATTCTGGGGCCCTGCTCCAGGCCTAATGAATCCAAGTCTCTGGGAGAGATGCCCAGGAATCTGTACAATTAGTAAACTCACTATGTGCTTCTTACCCCTGGTAGGGTCTGAGGATCCCTGCTCCAGAAAGGGAATCCTCCCACAGACATTTCCTGCCTCAGAGCACCATGTGCTCAGTGCCTGGTTAACAGACTCCTCTTGTTTTGCAGTATCTTGTCAATGATGAAACAAAACAAAAGCGAGTCTGCGTTTAAGGACATGCAGACCACCTACAAATCCAGGTAGGAGGGCCGAAGCCTGCAGGAGCTGGGTCGGGGGGCACCTCACAGGTACAGAGGTCACAGCAGAGACGTCCCACACCAGACAGTAGAAGGTAGGGCGAGAGGGAGCGGACCTTTTCCTTCTTCCTTGTGACTTCACTGAAAACAAGCTCCTTAACTCCTGGGGATCAGAGTTGAGCATCTAAATGTTTCTCCCCAACAATTATACACCATAAAGTTAAATTTTCCAGTGCCAAAGGGATGGAGGAGGGAGGATGTGGTATAGGTTACAACTTTCTTCGGGTGATTTGTAATGGGGGAGGTGGAGGTCTGCCCAAATACATAATTTCATTTAGAAAATATTCATTGGTTTCCCCCATGTGCCCAGAACTGTGCTAGGCATTGGGGATTCAGTGGAAAACAAGACAAACACGCTCTGCCCTCGTGATCTCACAGTCTGGGCTGGCCTAATAGCCTTTTTTGTTCCATGGACCCCTGAGGAAGTCTTTCAGAAAAATGTTTTCAAATGCATACTATAAAACATAAGAAGTCCCTGAGTGGTGAAATGGTTAACATGCTCAACTGCTAACCAAAAGGTTGGCAGTTCGAGACCACCCAGAGACAACTTGGTAGAAAGGCCCAGTGACCTACTTTCAAAAAATCAGCCATTGAAAACCCTGTGGAGCACAGTTCTACTCTGACACACATAGGGTTGCCATGAGTGTGAACTGATTCAACGGCAACTGGTTTTTTTCTATAAAATACAAAGAAATCTATAGTAATACAGATTACTATACTGCAACCAGTTTTGTGATACAGTAATCTATAAGCTTCTACATTAATGCCTTATATAACAAGACTTAACAGCAGGTCTAATGACTACTGTAATTTTGGATTAGTGTCAAGTATAAATGAGTTTTCAAAAATAACTCCCACAATTGGAATGTGGTATGTAAATATGTGTGCTTTCCGTTTTGGTTAAAGGTGGGTTAAAAGAAAGACACAACTTATTTCCTAATCTACCTCATGGACCTCTCGCCCTCTGCCCATGGACACCAGGTTAAGAATCGCTGGCCAATGAGAGAGTCAGACATCTCTCAAATAAGCCCAAAGTGAGCCACATAATCATGACTGTGGACAGTGTTCTGAAGAAGGAGAACTGGGTGAACATTTTAACACCAGGGTTCTAACCAAAACTGAATTTCACATTTAAGCTGAGACGTGAAGAATGAAGAATTAGCTAACCTATGAGGTGGGAACAGTGCTCTAAGCAGTGCAAAGTGCCTGTGGCAGGGGGAAGCTTAAAGGCAGTGAGAAAAGACCAGTGTGGCTGGAATTCAACAAGGGCCAAGGCAAGGAGATAGTGAGGCAGGCAAAAAGGTCTCTTGCTGTTTATTTATGTTTGTCTATTTATGACCAGCTAATAACACCACTTCCTTCATCCACTCCCCTCAACCCACTCCGCAAGTCACTGCAAAGGTTCTAGCAAAGAAGAAACTACATTCAGCAGAGATCAGAGCCAACACCTTCCCCCAAAGGATTCAGCTGCAGGGGGTGGGGGCAGTCGATTAGAATCCAGAATCATTGCTGAGGCCCTGCCTCCCAGCCAGGTGGGATAAGGCCTAAGAACCCTAGACTCAGTCCCATGAGTTTCTGAGAGAAGCAGCAAAGGCCAGGACCTTTCCTGCGAGGCTGGGTCTTGGAAATGGCTGAGTCTGCCCACCTAAAGAAGTTACCTAAAGGGTTAGCCATACATAATAGCAATCAGAAAAACAGTCTTACCCTCTACAATCACGCAGCCAAAGTGATCAAGTCAGTTTTCCAAGTATTCAGAGGAAACATGGGGGACAGAGGACAGGAGAGACGGTTCTAGACACTGGTACTGAAGGCCCAGATCACTAAAGGAGGACCTGGGAGAAAGTCACAGGGGAGAGATGGGCATAAGCAGGGTGGCTTCATGCCCCTCTAGGAAGCCAGGTCAGGCAAAGTCACAGAGGGAATAGTTATTAAAGAAATCCAATCAGTCCACACCCCACAAGGGTCAGAAGGCATGAAGAACTGATTGATGTCTGTCTCCCCACATGAGACCTCAGTCCCCATGAAGGCTGGGACCAAGAGTGATTAATCCATCATCTTATTGGCAGCACCTACTACAGTATAACCAGTTGAACCAAACCCATTGCCGTCAAGTCGATTCTGACTCATAGTGACCCTATAGGACGGTATAGGCACTCAATCATTATATGTTGGATGACTGAATAAATGAATGCTGTATACACAGATCATTAATTTAAACTGGACTTTGAGACTTATTTCTTCTAGGCTTTTTATGTCTTAGAATTTTCCTCCTAAACATTCCAATATGTATGTGCAACACAAAACCTAGACTTTTGGAATGGTGGTGAAGCCCTGCTCCTTCTTCCATCCCCACCTAAACTGCATTCAACACAACTGCTCTCCATGAGAGAAGGAAGAAAAGAGGAAGAAGGTTACTACTGTTTACTGAGCCTCTGCTAGGTACCAAATACTTGTATCAGGAGTGTTATCTAATTTAATCCACGTGCTGTGGTGTAGGTATTGGAATCCCCATTCCACAGATAAAGACACTGAGGATCCAGAGGGGAGTTGCTTGCCCATGAACTGAGAAGTGGTAGTGCTAGGGCTGGGTACTGAACCCAACTCTGCCTGCCTCCAAACTACAGTGAAACAGGCATTCAACACCAGGGTTTAGGATAGAGAAGAGAACCTTTGAACTAAGACGCAGTCTGGGGTCAGGGACACCAAAGACAAACCGGTTAGGAAGACTCAGCCATCCCTTCAGCAAACGTGCATTGGGCCCTGTGTTAAGTGTTGACTGGGGGTTGAGAGGAGAATGGAGGAGTTCAAAATGAACTTATCCTCCAGATGTAAAAACCAATTTTATTCAAATAAAACACAAATCCAGAAAATGTGTAACCCTGACAATACGCAAAGCCAGATGGGAAAAGTTGGACTTCAATAATTTGAGTAGGCAGGACATGCTGTGAACCATGAAATATGAGCAGGATTTAGTCGGTGGAGAAGAAACAAGGAAAACCCTCCAGGCAGGGGGAATGACATAAGCAAAGGTCAAAAAGTGGGGAAAAAAACCACAGTGGGTTCTGAGGCTGCTGCCTTGATTAGAGCCACCTCCCTTACATGAATCCTGAAGGCTAGTGGGTGCCATGGACGGGAGGTGGGGGGAAGCAAGAGGTACCCTTTTCATGAAAAGATGTCAGCCAACTTGAAATCACCTCTTTGTGTTTCAGTGACAAAACCAGCAGTACAAGCGGAGAGAGCCACAGCCAGCCAATCCAGAAGAAGGCTAGAAGGTAAGTCAGGTGGGTGAGGGAAGGGGATGAGGAAGGAATGACCCAACGCAGTCCGGACTTCCTGAAGTCACAGATGCTACTGAAAGGCAGGGGACACCACGGGCTTGGGGCTCACAGCCAAGATGCTGAGCAACAATGCAGACAACGGCAAGAACACCTCCTGTGTGCCAGGCACAGTGTGAAGCATTCTGCATTCAGCATCTTGCTTAACCCACAGAAAGAACCCTAGGAGATGGGACCATGATCCCGTTTTACAGAGGAGCAATCTGAAATTCAGCAAGGTGAACTGTCTTGCCTGAGACCACACAGTGGTGGAGCTGGGATTTGAACCTGAACCTCCCAGCTCCAAATTCCATTTTCATCCTTCTGTCCATAGCTAGACATGTCATTGTAGGATCATTTAATAAGGCCTGAACCAGCAGCCTGACACTGTTGTGAAGGTCTGTCCTTCAACCATGCAGGCAGGTGCTGAGGGAGGTTCCAGGTGAGGGAAGAGAGCCCAGGTGGGTACAGGGGATCCCCAGTGCAGACCATCTTGGGGCCCAGGGAGGCAGAAGGAGGACCCATGAGGCTAGTGGGGGGTGTCCCTTGGGGTCCATCCTCCATGCCTTTCTTGTCTGTGTCTACAGCCGCCCCACTCGTGACATCCTCCATTGTAAGACTGGTGTATGCAGCACAATGAGGGCCAAGTTTTACAGTGTGGCCCAGGAAGCTGGCTTCTGTCTCCAGGACAAGATGGAAATCCTCATGAAGTAAGGGCACACATACCCATTCACTCAGAAGACACTTACCAGGCACCTACTGTGTGCCTGCATGTGCCAGGTGCTGGGGCTACAGCAAGGAACAAGAAACGAGACATATTACCTACCCTCATAGAGCTTTTAGACTTCTGGAAAAGATGGGAAGAAACAAAGCAGCTGCATCAATAAATATACACACACAAGTTATAATCACTGCCATGCAGGAAGACAATGGCATCTACTGAGAAAGAGAGAAACAATGTGAGCCTAGTTTAGGTTGGGTAATCTGGGAAGGCTTCTCTGAGGAGATGACTTTAGGCTAAGTCCTGAAGGATGAAGAGTAGTTGCTGTGTGGTGAGAAGGTGGAAGGATATTCCAGGCAGCAGGAAAGATATATACAAAGTTTCAAGGTGGGAAGGGACATAGACAATTTAGAGCAAGGAGAAGGGGCAGGTGAGAGCTGCAACGTGCACAGCCAGGAATGCACCATTAGGACTTAAAATTTGATTTTAAGAGCACCAAGAAGCCACTGGAAGCTTTGCTCTTCTATTCTAGCAACCCAGTAACTGCTCCCTTCCCAGTCTATTCCTTGACTGCAGTGAGTGGCCACCCCAATGAATGCGTTCATTCAACGAAGGTTGCATGAAGACTCTCTGTCCTCTCTTCCTTTTAGCAAGATGGACTACCTGCTCTGAGCCAGGGGTTCAGAGGGGACTAACACAGGCAGGCTTCTGCCGTCCAGAAGCTCCCAGTCTAGTGGGGGAGACAGACAAGTAATCTATAATCACACATGGTGATGAGGGCTGGCATGGGAGTAAGCAGAGTGGGCTAAGGAGATGCAGAAAAGGGATGCCCTGCCTGATCCAGGACTGCAGTCAGAAAGATCACAAAGTCTTCCTGGAGGAAACAACATTCGCAATTTGATAAAAATAGATGGTATTTCCAGGGTGCTTACTATCTCTAAGGGCTTTGCATTTACTTACTTCTCACAACAATTCTACAGGATAGGTGCTTTACTATCCCCATTTCATAGATGAAAAAAGTGGGGCTCAGAGGTGTTTCTTGTCAAAGGTCATCCAGTAGTGGGGGTGGAATTCAAATACAGAGAGTTACACAGGGGAAGGAGGAGGGAAGGCAAGACCAGGAAAAGCAACAGCAAAGTCCCAGAGCCCAGCGGGGCACAGTGCGCTGAGCAACTGCCAAGAGTAAGATGCGGCTGGGGCTCAGGGTGACTGCAAGGTGGTCAGAGGAACAGGCCAAGGCCAGATCATAAAAGGTCTTAGTAGTCCGGATATGGAGAATGAACTTTATCCCAAAGACTTTGATCATGAGTCAAAGCATAACATGCTTGGAGAGAAAGGAAAAATGGATTGAGAGAAATAAAACCGGAAAATGTAGTGGGGACCAAATAATGCAGAGCCTTGGAGGGAAAGTTACTCAGAGGACTTTATTCTGAGGAAAATGAGGAGGCACTTAAGTTGTGCACACGGGAGTGACACAGTTCTATTTGTAAGACTAGGTCTCCTTGGAGAGATAGGAGATATGCACAAAATGATAAGGGGAGTTGGGGAGAGAGGGAGTCAGCATTAATTAAACACCTACTGTGTGTCTGGCACTGTGCTCAGTACTTTACATACATTATCTCATTTAATCCTCACCTCTGAGAGGTAAGAACCATTATGATCCCCATTTTACAGATGAGAAAGCTGTATAAATACAATCAAAAGCAAGAAGAGAATGAGAAGTAACAAAAATTGACTGGGTTTAACAGGGCTGTCCCTGGGTCTCCAAATGGTTAAGTGCTCGACTACTAACCGAAAGGTTGATGGTTCAAACCCACCCAGAGGCACCTCAGAAGAAATGCCTGGTGATCTGCTTCCCAAAGGTCACGGCCTTGAAAACCCTATGGAGTGTAGTTCTACTCTGCACACATGGGGTTGTCATGAGTCAGAACCGACTTGACGACAAGTTGGTTTTGCTTTTGGGTTTAGGTTACACCTGTTTAGCAGAAGAAAAGTGTTTCAGTGCCTTGGAGAGAGCTGTATCATTTTGTGAATGCCAGACTGCAGATTAGAGTGATTGGGAGGATTAAGAAGGGCCTCATGAAGGAAAAGATGTTCAAGTCAGATCTCAAAGGGCAGCTAGGATGGTTAAAGGAGAAGGGAATCTGATTCTTTTCTCTTTTTCATACAACCTGTGACGCAGGCGCCAAGAAGAGCGAGGTCTCCAGAAGTTCAATTCTTTTGTCCTTGTCTCGACTTTTCAAAAGGATATAGCAAAAATGAGGCATCAAGTCTCCGTAGTAAAAGGAGATGCAGAAGAAATTGCAGACCACTGGTAAAGATCCTGACAGCTGGCTAACACAGCCTCTGAGTGTGGTGGTGGTGGGGGTTGTTATTATAAGATTACAATTGATCACAATATCCCTCAAGTCTTAGAAAGGTATCACACCAAAAATGCCCTTGGCCATCAATAGAGTCCCCCAAAGAGGTGAAATCCAGAGCATAATCAGGCAAAAACTCCTCAGTTCCTGAACCACAGATAATCCAGCCAAGTGTGTTCTCCATATTTACCTTCTGTTTGATTCAGGTTTACTAATAAGGACTACCTCACAGGCCCTCATGGGAGAGGTGGATGAGGCAAACCATGCCTAAAATTTCTAGAGTCTGAGGTCTACGGGGCAGTTACTATATTCTCCCAATAATGTAACCTCTCAAGGATACCAAACCAGGCCAGCATATCCTGGTAACACTGTGCCCCAGCATGGAGATGTGATAACAACAATAAAAGCACCATAAGTTGAATGATTACAGTATGGCAGACATTACTGTAAGCACTCTTCATAAATTTTTATTCCTCACAAAAATCCTGAAGTGTATATATTAACCCCCATTTTACGAACAGGAAAACTGAGGCTCAGAGAGGTGAATGTACTTGTCCAAGGTCACATTACTAGTAAGTGGTGGATTCAGGATTTAAACCCCTGACTGACTCCAGTCTCTATGCTCTCCTGCAATACAGAATTGGAGTCTGATGAACTGTGACTTCACAAACTTAACCCTCATCAAGACCTAAGAATAGCTGAGAAGGTCTAAAAATCTACCCAGAGACTGGAGGGACCCTGGAAGATGTGGCCCCCGGACTCTCTGTTAGCCCAAAACTAAAACCATTCCCGAGGCCAACTCTTCAGACAAAGATTAGACTGGACTGTGGTACATAAAATGACACTCGTGAAGAGTGTGCTTCTTAGCTCCAGTAGATACATGAGACTAAATGGGTAGCTCCTGTCCAGAGGGGAGATGAGAAGGGAGAGAGGGTCAGGAGCTGGCTGAATGGACACAGGAAATCCGGGGTGGAAAGGGAGAGTGTGCTGTCACAGTATAACGAAAGAAAGTAGGGTCACTTGAATTGTAAACTTTCACTTAAAGCACAACAATTAAAAATAATTTTTTTTCCCACACATTAAAAGAAGTACCCAGAATCCCTTCCACAATTTTAATAATCTGGGACTGTAACTTACTAGCAGGTTCTTGGGATTTTGGCAGAGTTGTAGGACCTTCCATACTGCCTCACACACCCCAGGACATCACTGGCTCACCCAACAACATCTGGCAATAAAGATGCATGAGGCTCTCAACAAAAGGCCTCCTAAGAGAAGGAAGGGGTCTTCTTCAAATCCTTTCCCCACTTTGGGGGAGATTAAAAGAGAGAGAGGAAATTACAAACTAACTCACATTAAGGTATTACAGTGGCAAATTAACGCTGGTCCTCCCTGTGGGATTCAGCCCAAATCTCTAATGGTGGAATTTCTGCCATCATTATGGGAGAGGGGATTGACCTTTATAGCAACATCACAAGCAAGCCAAACAGGCAGTTCCTCAAAAGGTTAAACACAGAATTACCATACCCCAAAACCCACTGCCATCTAGTCGATTCTGACTCATAGTGACTCTGTAAGTATTAAGGACAGAGTAGAACAGCCCCGCATAGGGCCTCTAAGGCTGTAAAATGGAAGCAGACTGCCACATCTTTCTCCTGCAGAGCAGCTGGTGGGTTCAAACTGCCCACTTTTCAGTTAGCAGCCAGTGCTTTAACCACTGTGCCACCAGAGCTCCTAAGAATTACCATATGATGCAACAATTCCATTCCTGGGTCTAAACTCAAAAGAATTGAAAGTAGGAACTCAGATACATGTATGCCAATGTTCATTGCAGCACAATTCACAATAGCCAAAAGGTGGAAACAACCCAAGTGTCCATCAGCAGATGAATGGATAAACTAAATGTGGTATATATATGTATATATAAATGTGTGTGTATATACATACATACATATAATAAAGTATTGTTCTACCATAAAAAGGAATAAAGTTCTAATATATGCTACCACATGGATGAAACCTTAAAACATTATGCTGAGTGAAATAAGCCAGACACAAAAGGACAAATATTGCATGATGCTATTTAAAAGAAATACCTAGACCCCAGAAGACATGGCCCTTGGACTCTCTATTAGCCCAAAACTAAAACCATTCAGACAAAGATTGGACTGGACTATGGGACATAAAATGATGCTTGTGAAGAGTGTGCTTCTTAGCTCAAGTAGATACATGAGACTAAATGGGCAGCTCCTGTCCAGTGGGGAGATGAGAAGGGAGAGAGGGTCAGGAGCTGGTTGAACGGACATGGGAAATCCGGGGTGGAAAGGAGGAGTGTGTTGTCACAGTATAGGAAGAACAACTAGGGTCACGTAACATGTATGTATAAATTTTTGTATGAGAGACTAACTTGAATTGTAAACTTTCACTTAAAGCAAATCAATAAAAAAAAGAAGAAAGAAACTTAAAAAAAAAAAGAAATACCTAGAATAGACAAACACATAGAGACAGAAGGTACACTAGCGGTTACCAGGGGCTGGGTGTGGGGAGGGGAAATGGGACTTATCACTCAATGAGTACAGAGTTTCTGTTTGGGGCGATGAAAAACTTTTGGAAACAAATAGTGCTGGTAGTTACACAACATTGTATGATTAATGCCACTGGATGATATGCTTGAAAATGGTTAAAATGGCAAATTCTATGTTATGTGTATTTTTTACCACAATAAAAAAAAAAAAATCAAGCCAAACAGACCACAGCCTAGGAAAAACGATGCTGGGTTATAGCTATTCACTCATCCAGGTGTTCATTCAGTCTGTCAAATAATATTTATTGGGCACCTAGTATGAGTTAGGCAGAGTTCCAGCACTCTAGATACTGAATAACTCAGACAAGGTCCCTGTTCTCATGGAGATTTCGTTCTAAATGGAGATATAAATAAATATGTAAATATAAATATATAACACAAATACAAAGCAATATAAGTAGCCCAAAATGGATGACAGATGATCAGTTTCTTCTTCAAACTTTTCCACAATGGGCACATATATATTACAGAAGGAAAAAAAAAACTTTAAAAGGATGTCATCCCCATCTTAAACCCTGATCACACTTGAACAACACTCCAAGGTTAGAATCTACCTGTTCCCATCACCTCAGATTTCTGTCATGACAGTATGAAAAGCCCTCAAAACTCAGAGACTCACAGAGCAGTGTAGCCCAGGCCCACTGGCTCTCTTGCTGTCGAGTTGATGCTGACTTATAGCAACACTGCAGGACAGAGCAGAATTGCCCCATAGGGTTTCCGGAGCAGCTGGTGGATTTGAACTGCCAACCTTTTGGTTAGCAGCCATAGCTCTTAACCACTGTGTCACCTGGGCCCCAGGGAGATGGAAAACACACACAGAGACACCATCATCATCACCATCTTGTGGGTGAGACCCTCTTGCATCTTGGAAGGCATCCCATGGATGTGTCCATATCCTCCCTGGCCTGACTAACTCTCAGAACAGAAGCTTCCGAATCGCAATGTCCCTTCCTTTCTTTGAACTTTTCATGTTTCTAGCCGATAGAAAAATTATAAATGAGTCCTTTTAAAGCATGCCCTTAATTTGCAATTTTTAAAATGAGATGCGAGTCATGCACCAGCTTTTATCACCCCTAAAAACAAGGACTTGTCTGATCTGTTGGTCCTTTACAATTTAGGAGGGTGGAGGCCACCCAGATAAAGACTCATGCTCCCCTGGAGACATCACATTTTAAGAGAGAGCAGGGATGGAGGGCCTGAAGTAGCCAAACCCATCTCCCAGAAGCTTCCTAACTGGCCCTGTCCTCTTGGAATTGAAGGTACTTTGATCTGTTGTCCAAACTCCCTGAGGATCTGAAGAACTTCCGCCCCGCCAAGAAGATCCTGGCAAAACTACAGAAGTTTGGGGAGAATCTAGATCTGAGGATCCGGCCCCACGTACTCCTGAAGGTGCTACAGGATCTGAGGGTCTGGGAGCTGTGTTCCCCTGATATTGCTGTGGCTATTGAGGTAACCATGACCTTTCTCCTCACGGTGTCTTGGGTGCCCTCATTCTATCGTTCTTTCAACATCCAGGCACTGTTTAAGCTCTGACGACACAGTGATAAGAAGACTCTAAGACCTCTGCCTTCACAGAGCTCACATTCTCGTAGGAGAGGGACTGTCACATGACCTTGACTGTTCAATGCCAACCAACCACTTGCCTTTAAATCAACTCCAACTCATGGCGACCCCATGTGTGTCAGAGTAGAACTGTGGTCCACAGGGTTTTTAGTGGTTGATTTTTTTGCAAGTAGATCACCAGGCCTTTCCACCAAGGCACCTCTGGGTAGACTCAAACCTCCAACCTTAAGTTAGCAGCCAAGTAACCATTTGTACTACCCAAGAACTGCTGTTCAACTCCTGGGGACATTAAATGCTATATGTAAGTGGTGCCCCATGGAGGCTCTGTGGAGACAGATCAAAAATAAATAAATGGACAAGTGAAAAAAATACCTGTCTATCTTAACAAAGAGGCCTGGTGGCGCAGTGGTTAAGCGCTTGGCTACTAACCATAAGGTCAGCGGTTCAAACTCACCAGCTGCTTTGCAGGAGAAAGATGTGGCAGTCTGCTTCTGTAAATATTTACAGCCTTGGAAACCCTATGGGGGCAGTTCTACTCTGTCCTTTAGGGTCACTATGAGTCGGAATCGACTCAACAGCAATCTGTTTGGTTTGGTTTTCTATGTTAATAAGGAGCACTCTAAACCTCATTACAAAAGTGTAGTCCATGGACCAACAGCATGGACCTCACCTGGGTGCTCGTTAGAAACACAGAATCTCAGGCCCCAAACCGTGCCTATCAACTCAGAATCTACATGTTAATGCGAGTCCAGGTGATTTGTATGCATGATAAAGTTTAAGCGGCACTGGTTATAAGGAAACAGAGACGGGATTTACCTTAACTGAGACCTGAACGATGAAGAGAGAAGGGAAAAAGAGAAGGCCAGGCAGAGGCAGCAGTGTGTGTAAAGGAAGCACAGAATGTGACTTGTTGGAGGAGCTCAATGGCGATCAATGGGTTTGGAAGAAGAGAGCAAGGAGCTGTGAGTTCCTAAGGAGACTGGAGAGGCAGCCAGGTCAGTCTGTGCAGGCCTTTGAAGGCCAGGTGAAGGATTTGGGTCTGGGGAGCCACTGAATGATTTTCAATAGCTCACCATCGCCACCAACTACAGAAGTCCCTAGCGCTCTGTTCTCTTGTTGTTAGTTGCCATTGATTTTGCTCTTCACTCAATGGCCACCTTATGTACAACAGAACAAAAATGTTGCCGTGTCCTGTGCCATCTTCATGATCACTACTATGTTTGAGTCCATTGTTACAGCTGTTGAGTCAATCTATCTCATTGAGGGTTTCCCTTGTTTTCACTGGCCCTCTACTGTACCAAATGTGATGTCCTTTTCTACCATCCTTCCTGATAATCTGTCCAGAGTAAGCATCAAAAGACATTAGCAGACAGGTGGAAAAAAGGACTCCACACTAAGGTGCTGACAATGGCTAATGGAGTCGCTTTCTTATTTTTCTTAGATGACATATGTGCATTTTAATAGGGCCTTCAACGCCTCACCTTAAAAGTGTAACTCAAATGGTGGCATTCTCAGGCTGTGACAGGCTATTGGGTCTCTTGGTGTTTTCATGCCAGGTTGGCCCTTCCACAGGGTGACCTGGGTGTGTGTGTGTATGGGTGCAAGGTCGGGGGTGGGGACAGGGGTGGGGAGGATGACCCTGAGGACAAATTTAGATGTTCAGACTCCACACCCCACATCATGTGAGGCTCTTTCAGGAAAGATGCCAGGGGGCTAGTCTAAAACTAAAGTTAGGGCAAGTGTCCACCTTTCATCTGCTGGTTATAGGGTCCACCCTCTGCCCAGCAGTTACAAGGGGCATGGAGAAGGCAGTCTCTGAGTGGGTAAGAGGTGTCAGGGCTACAGAGGCTTCCCTTTTCTGAGGCGAGGTCATAGCCCAGAATTTAGCATGTTCTTCTTACTAATGAGACCATTACAGAGCTTCTGTTAACCTGGATAGAGGGTAGGGTCTGTTAATCCAGATTCTAAATGAAACACCCTATATTTGTGTGTGTTAACACATTCCTAGGAACAAGCCCATGCCTGTTATTAATTCTCAAAGACATCTGTGAACCAGAAAGGCTTAAGGAAAACATGAGTTTTTTTAAAAAAGATATTAAGGAGTAGAAAAGAAGGAAAAAGGCAGACAGCTAGTTTTCCTGCCCTCCCCAAATTTCCTTGGGTCAACAGCAACAAGAAAGGGCTCAAAATCAGCCTGGCTGAGCCAGGAAGCTAGAAAGGGGTCCTTTTCCCTAGTGAACCACCCCCAGCATGATGCTTCAGGCTGAGAATGGTTGGAGGAATACTGGGGCCACGAGCATCAGTCACAAAGCTTCTGGGATTTAGGGGAGGGGGAGAGTGTTAACCTTCTGACCAAATTCTGAGGCCATTGCCACTGTATTTGCCCTGCAGTTTGTACGAGAGCACATCATCCATATGCCTCAAGAGGATTATATCAACTGGCTGCAGAGCCGGATCAACATCCCCATCCGGCCCCACAGTGCCCCTGCATAGTCTGGATCTGGGTTGACCAGCTGTCCTGGAGGAGGAGGAGGAGAAGGGCTAGCCTACAATGTGTTCTACTTGTATTTTACCAGTGTTCCTGCTTACTCCCCTGGGTACTCATTATGACACAGTGGGATCATCTGGCAACTGACTTCTGACAACATTCTAGAAGGAAATATTCTCAGGTGGCCCTTCCCTCAACCCTGTACCCCAGACCCAATCTTCCTTGGTAGTTTAACCTGACTCTTCCTACTCCCTCTCTGGTTTCTTCATGCTATTCCTCTTCTCAGAATTTTGGATAATAAAATTGAACTGAGTGTTTGCTCTCTGACTTAGAATGAGCTGGAGCTGTAGAATCTGGGTGTAGTATTCAGAGCCTAATAACAGCAACAGTTACCATTTATTAAGCTTTCATTATGCAATAGGCCCGATTCTGGGTGCTTTGCCTGAATAATTTCATTTAAATCTGACAATTACTTGGCTAATTAGGTACTAATGTTAGCCCCATTTCACTCTACTGGCATTAGAGTGTGCCTCTTAACATTGGACGGATGTTTGGGTGTGTGGATGGATGTCTGGGTAGGAATGCATTGATGATACATGGATGGATGGACTGATCAATGGATGGATGGGGCATTGTCCAAAATGGCAAATGGTATGCAAGAAAAATCCCATCCTTAAGAGTCCTCATATGATTTCAGATGGTCTTGGTTACACACAGGAAGCATATCTTCCTGTCATTTCAAAATGTATGTGGACTTAACCTCTTTTGCCTTCCTAGTCTTGTAGTCACCTACATTCTAAGTTATAGGAACTACAGACATTTCATCTCTCTCAATAATAGCCAAACGGAATTAACAACTGAATGATTGGTCTTGATTTGCTGTCATACTCAGATTATCAGAGCACTCATGTAGGCTGGGCCTCTGACATCTCTCCATGTCAGTCGTGGGGGAAGGCTTTGGACTGGAACTATTATTCAGTCTAAGTAACATCTCACCCATCTAGTCACCTATCCAGTCATTCACTTATTCATTAAATGAGTATTTACTGAGAGCCCAGTATGCACCAACCAAGTTTTAGGTGCTGGGTGCACAGCAATGAACAAAGCAGACAAGGTCTCTGCCCTCACAGAGTTCACACGGAATCAGAGAAGTCAACAATATATGATGCGGAGGGTGGAGGGATTACATAACATCACACATCACTCTGTGTAGATGCCCTTTGTTTAACATGATACCTTGACAAGCCATCTGGGGTACGGAGGTGAGGTATAGTACACAAGGAGACTTCAAAATTAAAGAGACCCTAAACTTTTCCATTTTAAACAGGAATATGGATGAAGGGGAGAGGAGAAAGAGGGGATCCCAAAAGAGAAAGGAAGGGGACTGAGAAACATGACAGTGAGACAGGACCTTGGAAGAAAACCACCAGGCAGAAGTTCCTGGTATGGGGTTGCCTGAAGGAGCTCTAGGAACTACGATGTAAACCAATCCCCCCAACTTCACTTTGGACCTTTAGTAATTTCTACCACACACGTTCAAGTGTCCTCTCTGAGCAATGCTTTGAGGAAGAGGGAAAAGGGGCTATGCCATGTAGTATATCTGGATCTACTTAGGGGCAAAGAAAGGGCTTTAGGGACTCAGAACCTGAATATAATGAAGCGCTAAAGTCAGAGCTAGAAGAGACTGCTAGGACATGAGCTCTCTAGATTTATAGAAACCTTGAATGAACATTTAGCTGCCCACAAGACACGGGATGGGAACTCAGCCAAATTGAAATATACCTCAAACGTCAGGTGACCATCACAGCTGACATTTAGTTACACTAGAGAATCAGTGCAAAGGTGCCAGATTAAAAACAAACACAAGAAGATATCACAGGGTATGGGGGTGGGGGAGGACTAGGTGTTAACTCCATGCTTAGGATGTCAGAAAAGGCTTTTCAAAGGAAGTGGTAGGCGGGTAAGGAGGGAGGGAAGAATGTTCCAGATAGAGGGAACAGTAGGTGCAAAGGCCAAGAGGCAAAAGGAAACAATGTCATTTGAGGAGCTAGAATAGTATGTGTCTGGCTATACTGTAAGATCAGAATGGCAGTGCAGGGCAGAGAATGACAGGAAGGCTGGGGAGGCAGGTAGAAGGCAGATTATTAGATGCCTTATAGGCCATGTTACGAAGTTTGGACTTCATTTTAATGGCACTGGGGAGCCATGGAAGGATTTTGAGCAGGAAAATAATCAAGTTGACTTTCAGAAAAAAAATAATTGGCTACTGTGTGCGGGCAAGGCAGGGAGAAGGGCCCTAAGACAAGCTGCAGCAATGATTATGCGGGAGAGCAGTGGCACTGGGAAAAGAAGAAGAGGACACATTAAAAGGACATTTAAAAGGCAGAAGCACCAGAATTTGGTGCGGTGGGTTATAAAGTGTGATAGGGGAGGCAGGCGTATCAGAAGTCAAGTCAGGTTTTCCAGCTTGGACCACTGGGTGGAAGGTGGTGCTTTCACTATACTAGGAGGAGAGGAAGAAAAAGTTCTGAGTGATAAGGTGAGGAGTTCTGCCTGAGCATACTGAGTTGGAGATGTCTGGGGGACAGTAAGTGGAGGAATCTAAAGCTCAGGGGAGAGGGCTGCACTGGGGATAGAAATGTGACATCAACATCCTGTGAGCAGTGATGGAACCATGAGAGTGGTCAAGGTAACACATGGGAGGAGAGGCAGGAGGAAGAGAGGGCAGAGAGGACAGAATCACAGAAAGGACCAAACAGCCCACCCACAATCTACCTTTTATGTAGGGAATGCTTTGTTCCAGATACTGTACAAAACGCTTGACATAGATCATCGCATTTTGTCTTCATGGTAACCCTGCAAGGCAGGGCTCTTGTATTGTTCCTGTGCTAGAAAAGATGAAAGGGAGGCTCCCAAAGGTGTTCTGCACTCATGCTCACTGATTCTCAGTTCCCCACCCCCAACACCCTCACTACCTTGTTATGAGACAAGGAGGTCAAAAAAGTTATCATTTATCCCCAGGAACATCTCCAATGGTGGGGTTCTCAGGCACTGTATTAACTCACACTGCACTGCATTCCACAGTCTGCAAAGTACCTTTACCAGTATTATCTTATTTGGTGCTCACAACATCCCTCTGAGGTGGCCATTATTATAATCCCCGTTTTATAAGTGAAGATACCGAGACTTAAGGTCATTTGCTGACAGTCACATAGCCAATAAGTGGAAAAGCCAAGTGTAGAACCACGTCTCTCTGCTCTGGCAGAGAAGCCGCTGAAATCACAAGACTACCTCGCCCTCCTGCTTGCTGCTTTCTGAGCCTATTTTTCATATCTGTGGCTCCATCTAGTGGCTAATATAAGTATTACATTCCCACCCTGCTTGCTTGCAAAATGCAACCTTCCTGCCAAAAAGGATTGAGGCCAACAATAACAGCAACAAGACCTATTCTGCTTAGGCAAGGGGGATTTATTCAAACAAGGGAAGAGCTTTCACTACTAAAATATACTGGTGACTATGGGGAGGCAATACATCACTTCCAGCAACCAGGCTCAAAGAAGAGATGTAGCGAGAAATATTTTTGGTGTGAGTCTCTGGATCAGAACCATAACTAAGCACCTACTGCACGACAACTTGCGCCAGGTGCCCAGGATCTATTGTTTCTCACTGCTATGACAAGGCCATCTGAGTGGTTATCTGCATTTTTTAAGCCACACGTGTCCTAGAGAAGCAGTAGGCAAACTTTTTCTTTAAAGGGCCAGACAGTAAATATTTGGACTTTGCAGACCATATGTGGTACCTGCTGCATATTTTATTTTTATATATCTATCTATCTACATATAAATATACATACATATAAGTATATATATATATATATATATACACACATACACACACACAAACACACACACACACACATATACAACTTTAAAAATATAAAAAACAGATTTGGGGCCTGATCCCAATCCTATTGTTGCTGGCTGCCATCAAGTCAGCTCCAATTCATGGTGACCTTATGTACAACAGATCAAATGTTGCCCAGTCCTGTGCTATCTTCATGATCATCCTCACCCCTGCTAGAGGGTAATTCTAAGGATGGAATGGAATGTCCTAGTCTTCCCCCAAAAACTGAGACAGGGAGGAGTAGTGAAAATAGTACGGTAAATATGTAGGCAAAATATTTTTCACACTATTTATAAATAGTTTGTCTTTTTGTGAAAAATGAACGTATGCATAGGGTAAAAATTCCAACAGTGCAAAAAAAATAATAGTGAGTATCCTTCTCCACCAATCCTCAGGCCCCACTACCCTCCAGGGAGGCAGCAGTATACCTAGGAACTTATGTACCTTTCCAGAGATATTTTGTGCCTATACATGCAAACATGTAAGTAGATTTAAATGAAGCATTTATTGTATGCTTCCTGTATGTCGGGCAATCCAAGCATCACAGTCCCCCAATCAAAGCAAATGGCTCAGGGATTGTCTTAGTTACCTAGTGCTGCTATAACAAATACCAGAAGTGGATGGCTCTAACAAACAGAAATTTATTCAAGTGGGCTAGAAGTCCAAATTCAGGGTGCCAGCTCCAGGGGAAGGCTTTCTCTTTATGTCGGCTCTGGGGGAAGGTCCTTGTCATCAATCCTCCCCTGGTCTAGGAGTTCTAAGTGCAGGAACCCTGGGTCCAAAGGATATGCTCCCCTCCTGATTCTTCTTGCTTAGTGGTAATGAAGTCCTTGTGTCTCTCTGCTCACCTCTCTTCTATATCTCAAAAGAGACTGACTCAAGATACAACCTAATCTTGTAGATTGAGTCCTGCCTCATTAACATAACTACCTCTCATCCTGACTCATTAACATCATAGAGGTAGGATTTACAATATACAGGATAATCACATCAGATCACAAAATAGTGGACAATCACACAATACTGGGAATCATGGCCTAGCCAAGTTGACACACATTTGTGGGGGATACAATTCAGTCCATAAGAGGGATGAACATCCAAG